AGATTGTGCCACTGCACTCCAGCTTGGCAAGAGAGTGAGAATCAATCTAAAAAAAAAAAGAAAAGAAAAGAAAAGAAAACTACCTGTCTAAAGCACAAGTGCCCAGTTTTAGGAAAATCTTTTGGTTGCATAGCATTAAACATTCTCTTCTATAAAGTTAGGAGAAAACTTGTTGTTTTTTGAATAGAAACCATCTGAGTTTTAGAACTTTGTAATTTTTTTTTTTTTTTTTTACTTTAAGTTCTGAGATATATGTGCAGAATGTGTAGGTTTGTTACATAGGTATACATGTGCCATGGTGGTTTGCTGCACCCGTCAACCCGTCATCTACATTAGGTATTTCTCTGAATGCTATCCCTCTCATTACCCCCCTACCTCGACAGGCCCTGGTGTGTGATGTTCCTCTCCTTGTGTCCATATATATGTTCCATTGTTCAACTCCCACTTATGACTGAGAACATGTAGTGTTTGGTTTTCTGTTCTTGTGTAAGTTTGCTGAGAATGACGGTTTCCAGCTTCATCCATGTCCCTGCAAACGACATGAACTCATCCTTTTTTTATGGCTGCATAGTAGTCCATGTTGTATATGTGCCACATTTTCTTTATCCATTTAACATTGATGGGCATTTGGGTTGGTTCCAAGTCTTTGCTATTGTGAATAGAGCTGCAATAAACATGTGTGTGCATGTGTCTTTACAGCAGAATGATTTATAATCCTTTGGATATATACCAGTAATGGGACTGCTGGGTCAAATGGTGTTTCTAGTTCTAGATCCTTGAGGAGTTATCACACTGCCTTCCACAATGGTTGAGATAATTTACACTCCCACCAACAGTGTAAAAGCGGGCCTATATCTCCACATTCTTTCCAGCATCTGTTGTTTCCTGACTTTTTAATGATTGCTATTCTAACTGGTGTGAGATGGTATCTCACCGTGGTTTTGATTTGCATTTCTCTAATGACTAGTGATGATGAGTTTTTTTATATGTTTATTGGATGAATAAATGTCTTCTTTTGAGAAAGTGTTTGTTCATATCCTTCACCTACTTTTTGATGGGGTTGTTTGTTTTTTTTCTTGTAAATTTGTTTAAGTTCCTTGTAGATTCTGGATATTAGACCTTTGTCAGATGGATAGATTGCAAAATTTTTCTCCCATTCTGTAGGTTGCCTCTTCACTCTGATGATAGTTTCTTTTGCTGTGTAGAAATTCTTTAGTTTAAGTAGATCCCATTTGTTAATTTTGGATTTTGTTGCAATTGCTTTGGTGTTTTAGTCATGAAGTCTTTGCCCATACCTATGTCCTGAATGGTATTGCCTAGGTTTTCATCTAGGGCTTTTATGGTTTTAGGTCTTAATGTTTAAATCTTTAATCCATCTTGAGTTAATTTTTGTATAAGGTGTAAGGAAGGGGTCCAGTTTCAGTTTTCTGCATATGGCTAGCCAGTTTCCCAACACCATTTATTAAATAGAGAATCCTTTCTTCATTGCTTGTTTTTGTCAGGTTTGTCAAAGGTCAGATGGTTGTAGACTTGTGGCATTATTTCTGAGGACTCTGTGCTTTTCCATTGGTCTATATGTCTGTTTTGGTGCCAGTACCATGCTGTTTTGGTTACTGTAGCCTTGTAGTATAGTTTTAAGTCAGTTAGTGTAATGCCTCCAGCTTTGTTCTTTTTGCTTAAGATTGTCTTGGCTATATGGGCTCTTTTTTGGTTCCATATTAAATTTAAAGTAGTTTTTTTTTTTTCCTAATTCTGTGAAGAAAGTCAGTGGTAGCTTGATGGGGATAGCATTGAATCTATAAATTACTTTGGGCAGTATGGCCATTTTCACAATATTGATTCTTCCTATCCATGAGCGTGGAATATTTTTCCATTTGTTTGTGTCCCTCCTATTTCCTTGAGCAGTGGTTTGTAGTTCTTTTTGAAGAGGTCCTTCATATTCCTTGTAAGTTGTATTTCTAGGTGTTTTATTCTCTTTGTAGCAATTGTGAATGGGAGTTTGCTCATGATTTGGCTCTCTGTTTGCCTATTATTGGTGCATAGGAATGCTTGTGATTTTTGCACATTGATTTTGTATCCTGAGACTTTGTTGAAGTTGCTTATCAGCTTAAGGAGTTTTTGGGCTTAGACGATGGAGTTTTCTAAATATACAATCATGTCATCTGCAAACAGGGATAATTTGACTTCCTCTCTTCCTATTTGAATACACTTTATTTCTTTCTCTTGCCCGATTGTTCTGGCTAGAATTTCCAATACTATGTTGAATAGGAGTGGTGAGAGAGGGTATCCTTGTCTTGTGCCAGTTTTCAAAGGGAATGCTTCCAGTTTTTGCCCATTCATTATGATATTGGCTGTGGGTTTGCCATAAGTAGCTCTTAATATTTTGAAATATGTTCCATCAATATCTAGTTTATTGAGAGTTTTTAGCATGAAGGGGTGTTGAATTTCATCGAAGGCCTTTTCTGCATCTATTGAGATAATCATGTGGTTTTTGTCATTGGTTCTGTTTATGTGATGGATTACATTTGTTGATTTGAGTATGTTGAACCAGCCTTGCATTCTAAGGATGAAAATGACTTGATTGTGGTGGATAAGCTTTTTAATGTGCTGCTGGATTTTGCTGGTGGTCCCCTCCAGACCCTATTTGCCTGGGTATTACCAGCAGAAGCTGCAGAACAGCAAAGATTGCTGGCTGCTCCTTCCTCTGGAAGCTTCATCCCAGAGGGTCACCTGACAGATGCCAGCCAGAGCTCTCCTATATGAGATGTCTGTCAACCACTGCTGGGAGGTGTCTCCACCTCAGGAGACATGGGTGTCAGGGACCCGTTTGAGGATGCAATCTGTCCGTTAGCAGAGTTCAAGCACTGTATTCAGAGATCCACTGCTCTCTTCAGAGCTCGCAGGCAGTAACGTTTAAGTCTGTTGAAGTTGCACCCACAGTTGTCCGTTTCCCCAGTGACTCTGTCCAGGAAGATGGTAGTTTTATCTACAAGCCCCTGACTAGGGCTGCTGCCTTTCTTTTAGGGATGCCCTGCTCAGAGAGGAGGAATCTAGTGAGGCAGTCTGGCAACAGAGGATTTTTGGCACTGCAGTGGGCTCCACCCAGTCTGAACTTCCTGGAGGCTTTGTTTACATTGTGAGGGGAAAACTGCCTACTCAAGCGTCAGTAATGGCAAGCTTGAGAATCCCAGGTCGACTTCAGACTCCTCTGCTGGCAGCGAGAATTTCAAGCCAGTGGATTTTAGCTTTCTGGGCTCCGTGGGGGTGGGATCCACTGAGCAAGACCACTTGGCTCCCTGGCTTCAGCCCCCTTTCCATTGGAGTGAACAGTTCTGTCTCGCTGGAGTTCCAGGCACCACTGAGGTACAAAAAAAAAAACCAAAAAAACCCAAAAAAAACAACAACAAAAAAACCACTCCTGTAGTTAGCTCAGTGTCTGCTCAAATGGCTGCCCAGTTTTGTGCTTGAAACTTAGGGCCCTTGTGGTATAGGCGCCCAAGGGAATCTCCTGGTCTGTGGGTTGCAAAGAGCATGGGAAAAGCATAGTATCTGGGCCGGATAGCACAATCCCTCATGGCACAGTTAGTCACGCCTTCTCTTGTCTAGGGGAGGGAGTTCCCTGATCCCTTGCACTTCCTGGGTGAGGCGACACCCCACCCTACTTTTTGCTTGCCCTCGATGGGCTGCACCCACTGACTAACCAGTCCCAGTGAGATGAACTGGGTATCTCAGTTAGAAATGTAGAAATCACCTGCCTTCTGCCTTGGTCTCACTGGGAGCTGCAGACCGGAGCTGTTCCTGTTTGGCCATCTGGCCCGGGAATCCCCGCTAATAAGATTCTTATACCAATAGTTCCAGCATAACCTCAAGTGGTGCTTGTAGTAATTATCAAATCATTACAAAACTAAAGAAGAAAAAGGAAATACGTTTCATGGATGTGATTAAGTCATTACAGTGTTCTTGCATATGTAAATTATCCTTGACTTAATGAACTACCTTGCTTACATAATAATATTTTAACCTGGTTCTAGAAAGTCATTCTTACCCATGTTAATCATGGTTATCAGACTTAGCAGAGTTTATCTTCAGATCATCTTGCTGAAGAGAAATTTATGTATTATGTATCCATGTGCATAAATTTTGTTTAAACTATTAGAATTGCACTTATTAAGTACATTTGTTACATTAATTACTTTAATAAATTAGTAAAACGCTTAGGAAGAGCAAAACCTTGATTACATACTGATGATATCCAAATTAACAAGGGTCATTTAAAAATATGTATTTTCTGATTATAAAATAAATATGTATTACTTGGAGAAAAACAAGAAACTACAGAAAGGAACAAAGAAGGGTATTAACCTGTATCACCTAGGATTAATCATTTAAAACTTGAATGGATATCCTACACTTTTCAAAGAGTACTCCCACTGTTTTATACAATACATTATATATTTCTAAAAAGAACTAACTCTACAAGAAAACCTAGTTAAGTGGGATTCTTTTTTTGATTTCCTTTATCAGAAATTGAATCTAAAGTTTTAGTATCCATATTTCAAAAACTTTATTCAGGATTATAAAAGCTACCAGGGAAGTATTTTATGCTTCCTCTACTGCTCTAGAGAGTTCAACTTATCCAAAATTATTTCAGTGCCTTATCTTCAACAATGACCAAGTCTAGTACCATATTAACTAATGCAAAGCCTAGCGAAATTAATAATTATAATATTACTATTTGAATATAAATCTTTATGTATGCCTAGGAGAAAAAAAGTTTCCTAGAACATGTAGGGAGTACAAAGGAGTCTTAATTATATGTCAATGCTGTTGTTCTCTGAAGATTTTCAATTATTTTTCTGTCTTTTGTAATATATAGTTTTGTTGTTGTTTGGTTGTTTTAAATTTTATTTTGCATGAGAAGTTAAGGCCAGTGTAGATTTTGGGCAGTTAATCATTTTATGACTTTCATTTAATCAACATTTTTTTAAATCCCCTTTTAGGCAGCCAAGGGCAGTTTCCACTAACACAGAATGTAACCGTTGTTGAAGGCGGAACTGCAATTTTGACCTGCAGGGTTGATCAAAATGATAACACCTCCCTCCAGTGGTCAAATCCAGCTCAACAGACTCTGTACTTCGATGACAAGAAAGGTGAATACATTTTCTTTCAAATGTTTTAATCGTATTCTAAAATATCCTAATTACAATAAATTTACTTTTCTGAGATGATTCAAATTATTCCTTTTGATTACCAAACTGCTGCTGCTTGTATTTAAACATGTTAAATATTAAATACTTTAGTTTGCAAGTCATAAACACCAAAGATAACCTATGTCAACTTTTTAATAAAATAAACACTTTTAATTCTGTTTCAAAAATAGTTTTATACCTTCTCTTAACAACCATTTTCTTTCTAGATAGCATATTTTCTCACTCTTGTAGCTGTTTTGTGTATAGTTTGAGTTTTTTTTTCTTTCTCCTGATAATATAATATTATTTTTATGAAAATCAGTTTTATATATTTGGAAGATACAATATGATTTTGGAAAGTTTAATGATTTTATGTTCATGAATTTGCTCTGAAAGTAAGAATTGTAAAAATGATTCACATAATGTTGAAGTATTTCATGTTTCCAAAATAAACTGAAATTAAGAAAGAAGCTGTATTTTTTAAAGTTGAATTGGACTTCATTAACTAATTTCAGCTTCTTACTGGATAATAGATTTTGATTAAATATTCCCAGAGAACAAAGGAAATTCATGTTACATAATTCAAGCAAACAACTAAAAATGTACACCAAATATCTAAGCCTTCATCCATTATTAGATGAAAAGGTGAGTTCATAACTGTAATGAAAATATGGGACTGTTGCTTAAGATACATTTATATTATATAGGATATAAATAACTATTTATATATTAGCTGTTCTTATTCTTAAAATTGGCTATTAGTCTTAATATATTTTTTAATGAATCTGTGTAGGTAATAGTAAGATAACTTCAAATCAGTTCCATTTAAACAATTAAAATATCACATACAGTCTAATAAATGTGCTCAGTCCACCTTTAATATGTATTCATTGTATTTTCACCGTAACGATTTTTCTTCTTTGATGTACTCTAGATTTAAAATGAAATCTTTAGTTTGTTTTAAATATTAAATATATAATGAAGGACAGATGAGGTATCTAATTCATTTATTTGATAAATATTTATTGAGAGTCCCTTTGTACCAGGCATTAAAATTAGGGAGCAGAAAGTTAATGGTATGTGCCTTTTTGGGAAATACAGTCTAGTGGAGGAGACAGACAATAAACATGCAAATGAAATTCATTTTATAGTACATTAAAAGGGTACAAGTGCTATGCACAAAAATGAACCAGAGATAGAGGAAGTGTTAGGGTCCTCCAGGGAAACAAAATGAATAGATAGATAGATAGATCAATTGATCGATATTTATTTTAATAAATTGGCTCAAGAAATTTTGGGGTCCGGCAAGTTTGAAAAATACAGGGCAGGCTGGTAGGCTGGAGACCCAAAGAGATTCTGTTGCAGCTCATGTCCAGAGGCAGTGTCAGGGAGAACCTCCTCTTCTATAGGGGACTTAGAGGACTTCACACTTTCTCATAAGGACTTCCACTGATGGAGTGTGGCCTATCCACGTTACGGAGAATAATCTGCTTTACTTGAAGTCTACTAATTTAAATGTTAAACTCATCTAAAAAAACACCTTCACAGAAACATCTAGATGATTGTTTAACCAAACCTCTGGGGACTGTGGCCCAGTCATATTGACATTTAATATAAAATTATTAACATATCGACAGTTAATATAAAATTTACTGTCATGGAGGGTTAATACCTAATACTCCAGTAGAACTTTATTATTTAGAAAGAGATTTAATTTACAGTTTTAGTTTTCTTTCAAACAAATGAAGTTCTATTAGTTAAAAAAAATTAAATGCATACACAAAGTCACTCACAGATATTAAACAACCTGTTTTTGCTTTTAGTATTAATTGATTACAAATATTAGTAAATAAATAATTAAACTGTATGCTCAGCTCTAACGTGGTGCCAATTTTAAGGAAATGTCTCATTTGCTTAAAACTGAAGCCAAAGAAAGTGTTCTAAAAAAACAGACTTTTAGAAATGTTCGTTAAACAACTAAATGTATTATTATACTATTTAATTTGTCAACTTGATTATACATACATATTTAATGTAATATGAAAAATATTAATTTATAAATATGACTTTTTTCCATCCCTGTGTTTAATGAAACAATCTTGCTTATTAGCAGTTTTTGAAAGCATAGCACACTGTCAACAAGAAATTTGTCCCTAGCGGCAACTATAAACTTTTATAATATTAGAACATTTTTTGTTGTTGTTCATTCATCCCACAGGTGTGTAATGACAATCTCCACTTTATAGCAACTCTTGCACTGCTTTTAAGGAGATTTTAAAGAGTCATGTTTACAGTGACATCTCCAATTGTGAGGTCAAATCCTCAGGCACAAAGACAAAATCTATATGAAATGTCCTTGCTTCCGCTTTTAGTGATTCTATAAGTTATCTTCTAAAAAGCATCTAAAACTAGAAAACTAGAATTGATTTGGGATATTTCAAGCTAATATATCTTTCCTGGAGGAAACGGAGAGCAACTTGTCATAAAGGATTTGTAAAGGTTTGAATATAAGGCAACCTCCTCTTTTCTGAGGGATCATTATGAGGAGAAAAAAAAATCATGCCATGTTTGGGAAATATGGTAATATATTCCTGCATCTTTACACTGCCTTGAAATAATAAATACACCAGTTCTATGAATTGCTGAAGTATGCACTTTTTTTTTTTTGAGACAGGGTGTCATTTTGTTGCTCAGGGAATGCAGTGGCACGATCTTGGCTCACTGCATCCTCCGCCTCCCTGGTTCAAGCAATTCTCCTGCCTCAGCCTCCAGATTAGCTGGGAGTACAGGCACGTGCCACCATGCCCAGCTAATTATTTTTGTGTTTTTTGTATAGACTGGGTTTCAGCATGTTATCCAGGCTGGTCCGGAACTCTTGAGCTCAAGCGATCCTCCTGCCTTGGCCTCTCAAAGTTCTGGGATTACAGGTGTGAACCACTGTGCCCGGCCTGGACTAACTTTACTTAATTTTCCTTTCCCAGATGTTGTAATAGCTTAGTTGGGTTGGAAAAAGCCTATGTATGTGTTTGTGTTTTTAGTATGATAGGTTTCTGTTTTTGATACTATGTTTTTTCTAACTCTATTGTAGTTCTAAACGTCAGTTTCAGTAAAACAACAGAAAGCACTGAAGAAAGAAAAGAAATCCTTTGGCAATCTAACATATCTATTCCCTCATATGTCAGTGGTTCAATTTCCTTCTTTTTTTTTTTTTTTTCATTTTTCATCCTCACCATCTGTTCCCAAGAGTGGTTCAATTTCTATGTGATATCTTAGTTGAAGGGATTCTTAGACAGTAATACCTATCAAATGCAAGAGTTTGAAATTAAAACCATTTTAAAAGATTCCATATTACGGTTTTCCACACATGATCTTTTAATCTGCATTTGCCTGTCTAACACTCACCAATTTTGAGGCTTATCTTGAGCAAGCAAGCATTCCAAGTTATACCAGAGACTAAGTGAAGAAGGTGAGCATGAGTTAGACCATAGTAACGCACACGTATTGTACTAGTGAAGACAGCACATGAGAGCAAGAGAGAAAAGGAAAGGAATGGGTTGTCTGTGTCATTGATTATACCATCTCCTACATGTGGCTGCTACTGTTAAAGCTTCATCTTTAGCCCCACTCTTCTTTCTGTCTCAGATTATGTTGCCAGTGGTTCTTAGCCCTAGTTACACAGTAAAATCACTTGGGGGACTTTCCAAACACAGTCTTTCGGGGTATGCAGTATCAGAATATTTTAATTATATCTCAAATGATTATAAAATGCAGCTGTGATTGAGACACTTGGGTGTAGGCAAGTCAACTCTCTCAAGAGTTTTGCACCCTTGAGCTTGGATTTATGTATTGATAAATGTTACTGAGCATGGAAGGAAGAAAATAAGGGAAGGAGGGAGGGAAGGAGGGAAGGAGGGAGGAAGGACAAACAGCTCAGAAAAAGAAAAAGTGCTGATCACTGCCTCACAACAATTGCTACTGCCACTGTGAGCTCCAAGAGGCATCCTGGGTAGCATTTCATGCTATCTGGAAGTGTAAGTTTCCAAGGGTCCCGGCTATGAACGAAAAACTCAGGATAGCAGCACACATGTCATGTTAGAGTTGGAAAAGCCTTGTTTACATGGATTTATTTACTGAAATATGCTGTGAGTGGTCAGTCAAATCAAGTAAAGGAGAATTAGGCTGAACCCCCTTTCCTAGGGGTCTCTGTCAGAGACTTTAAGTGTGAATATTCATGTAATCCTATCTACTCGGGAGGCTCAGGCAAGAGCATTGCTTGAACCCAGGAGGCGAAGTTTGCAGTGAGCCAAGCTCGTGCTACTGCACTCCAGCCTGGGTGATAGAATGAGACTCTGCCTCAAAAACAACAACAACAAAAAAAAGTGAATATTCAGGAATCTCTTCCCAGGGGAGATAGGTGTCTAGTGGGGGAATTGGCTAAGGTGAAACTAATACTGTCATATTTCTAACTGAGGTAAAATAAAGAGGAAGGCAGCAAATTCAGGCTTTTACAACTTCTTACCACGTTTAATGTGATCAGCAGCTTGTGTCCATTGATAAAAGAAAAAAATAAGACCAAACAATCAAGGATATTTCTCCACAGACATTCAACTAATGTCTGGTAGTGAAGAACTTAGAATCCAGGTGTAGCTTTTGCCTTGATTTTAACTGAAATATTCCTGAGAGCAATGGCATCTGGATGCCACGTCATTTTAAATGTAACCTGGGCAGCCTCTGCCATTGATCTTGGCAGCTGACTTTTATTAAAGAGCAGCATATCATTTCAAACTGTTGAAGATATACATAGATTAAGACAGAAGGGCCAGGCATGGTAGCTCAAACCTGTAATCCCAGCACTTTGGGAGGCTGTGGCAGGCGGATCACCTGAGGTCAGGAGTTTGAGACCAGCCTGGCCAACATGGCGAAACCCTATCTCTACTAAAAATACAAAAATTAGCCGGGCG